TGGGATATAACTTCATCAAAGGCCCAGCTTCTCAAAACCAAAGCGAGTCATATCTCTCTCCGCCGAGATCCAGACAGACCGTCGGGCGATTTACGGATCCCAAAGAACGATAGTATTTCTATTCATTCAGCGAGTAGGCAAGGGAAAGCTACCGAAGAAGCAATCTGGGGCACTGAATTGTCGACGCTCAACCGGAGTCATTAGTCTTTATTGATGTATTGGTTGGTCTTTCACTGCTACGAATATTATCTATGTCTAAGCCGGAATAGAATTTCCGGAATCCCTTCTGAACACCAAGTATCTCGCACCCAAGTACAGAATTTCTGACATCGGTTTCTTCTATTGGTCTTCTTGGAAATGGTGTAGTTTATTTGCTGGCGCTATGATAGTTATCCAGCTACTTAGTTCTCGTGCTTTGACTCTCCGCTTGATACGTCTTGTTGCCACCTCGTTTGAGAATCATGTACAGATACTCGGAAGAAGCTGCTAGAGGTACAATATTAGCCAGAATTATCCGGCACATGTCTCACTGTAAAACGTAGCAGGGCCACTAAAGGTTTTACTGTCAACATCATACATGAATTATATAGAATGATGATCCTGAAGCGCGGTCAAAGATTTACGGGTCAAAAAGTAAGACTGCGCGTGTGTTCCTGCACTGTCTTGAAGGAATGAGATAGTGTTGCGGATAAGTACTTAGTAGATTCTGAATACTGAATCTGAATTGGAAAGATCCTCATTATAGCGTAGGGACGAAGCGATGTGACATTGTCCTAACGTTTCGAACTAAATATGCAAGAAATTGTTTTGATCTTCACCTGCTACACATTTAGTTCATACGAGGGCTATAAATAAAAACCTAGGAATATACATACAAGCGCTCATATTGCAGTAGTGATGTAACAGTACATGCATCGGATGATGAATCCGGCGCTCGGCCCCTCGCCTCCTTCTTGGTGTTATTGCCGCATTCTCATTGCCACATACCATACACACGAAGTCGTGTGCATCTTACGGGGACCGGCGTGGAGCTGTACATCAATTTCGAAGCTCATTGAACATGACGATGTGATGAAGACTCTGTTGTGGTCATGCATAAATTATACTGCGCTACTACGGCTGACCCCAACATTTCTCTGTCGCAGAACCAGTGATATCACACTAGACCAGGGGCTGAATGCAATTCACGAATGTGTTCGACCAACAGGTAGATACTCACATCCCCTTCAAATGAGGAAAATCACCTTTGAGCTCACATTCCATTCTACTTCTTCCCACTGAGGCAATTATCTCCCTACTGCAATCTTTCATGCACAGACAGTTGAAAAAAATGATGCGCATAGCTATCATTGGAGGCGGTCTTTCAGGTGTCAGCCTTGCAAACCTTCTTATAAGGAATCCACTCTTCGAAATAGAAGTGTACGAGTCTAAGGAGTTCTCTGAGCGTGGTGCTACGGTAGGACTTAGCCGAAGCGCTTTGATCGCACTAGAACAGATATTGCCTGCGGCGGTGGACACTCTGGTAGAGAAGGCAGGTGCCGTACCAACCGAGTCGATCCGCGTTATGGTCGTGAGTTAATAAGAAAACGAGCAAAATTTGAACGTAGCGAGCAAGAGATTGACTGATGAAATAGGGTTCTGGTCCGAATAAAGGGGAGTTTCTGTTTGAGATACCGAACATGAAGCCCCGAATCTCAGTCTCTAGGGCGTCATTACTCAAGGAACTTCTGGCGCAATTGCCTGGGGAAATCCTGTATGCGAATATGAAGTTGACGTCCATAGACCAGGGGTCATCTGAAGTAGCCATCACGTTCGAGGACGGCACTACCCATCACTTTGATGCGGTCATTGGCGCTGACGGGATCAGCAGTCATGTTCGAGATCATGTCCTCGCTGGTCAAGAGCACAGCTCTCCCGCAGGCTTTTGGGATTGCTGGGCAATTTTTCCAGTTGAAAAAGTCCGCGGAACTGTAGACGAGGAGTATTTAAGGTGTGGGCAACAGTATGCCTTCACAGCGGATGGCGCTCTATTATTGTATACGTTGTTAGCGGGCGGAAAAATGGTCCAAGCTATTATTTCGAGCCTTGAGAATACAGACGAGAGACGAAGTGATCGGAAGCGCAAGCTTGAACCCGAAGAGAAAGACAAATTACGCCGAAAATGGGAGGTAGCTACTGGTATAGTAGAGGTGAGGTTCTCGAAATCCTTTGTATTCAACATTGGGAATTAGTCGTTGACTGGAGCAAAGCTTCTCTTATCCGATCCTTCCCTTCATGCGTATTCGCAGCATGAACACAAGTCTACAGCAACGTATTGTCGAGACAATATCTGTCTTATCGGCGACGCTGCTCATGCATCTACTCCTTGGCAAGGTGCTGGCGCCGGACAGGCTCTTGAGGACTGCGTCATCCTCGCAGCCTTACTAGGCGAAATCAAAGAGCCGAAAGACATAACCAAAGCTTTCCGAGTCTTCAACTCAGTGAGAGCACCGCGGTGTAAACAAGTCATCCAGTCAAGTAGGGAAGTTGGTAATATCCTGTGTAGCCCAGGGAAGTATGAGACCCTTGAGGACTGGAGGAAGGCATTGGAGCGGAAGTGGGATTACTTGTATGATTTCGATCTGGAAGCGCAAGAGAGAGACGCTTTGAAGGCTCTGCGAACAGTGACGACTACGTGATGAATTGATTATTTTTAAGCATGCCCTCAAGCTCTCCGGTAGCTATCGGATGTCGCAAGCCATACAGTGTACAGAAATCATGACATCTGTACAACTCCATGTGCACATCTTTTGGTGCTGCGAACGCACGCCAGCTATTCGCTCAAAGCTTTCGGAGGCAAATCTAACCCGCATTTGGTGAGCTCTTTCAGGTAGTTGATTTGGTCAAGTAGTGTATGCTGGTTTATGTACCCCTTTTCGCTCTAGCTTGAATGCTTAGTTGATAGGTACCCCCACCTACCCCCCCCCTTAACTAGTAGCTTCACATATTATTCTCACACAACTTTCTTACCAAGCTCGATATCATGTAAAAGCACAAGTCACCATCTAACCCAGCCGAAGTCGCTCATTCAGGAATTCTCTAAACCCAGTATCAACTGAAGCCGAAAACGCCAAGAAGACGAACATATTTGAAGTCTGGGGAGGTGGCACGGTGCAGAAATCCGGGACGACCTCAACGCCGCGGAGACCCCTCAAGCGAACGATATCGCCAACCCAGTGAAGCGTGTCATGGCGGATATCCACCAGGAGGGCGATGTCTTTGCTCGTGAGCTCGCGCGGGCCCTCTTCCTCCCAGTCGCGCTGCGCCGTCTCCGCGAGACGGCCGGCTTGTACGACGAGCCGTAGGTATTCCACGGAGCCGTGGTCGCGGAGGTAAGTGCACACTGGACGAGATTAAAGAATTAGATTGTAATCTGAATTGATTATTAGAGTAGTCAGAATCAGGGAGTCAATTGGGAATCCCTGCCAGAGAATCCAAACAGAGCTTAAAAGAAGCAAGACGGAGGAATAAATAAACTCGGAAGAATAGTTGTGAAATACCCACTAGTCCGCCACTCGCACCGATCGCTCCAGCAATCATACAGCCACGGCCCCTTCTTATACAGCGCAAGGCGCGTCACAAGACGGCGGGTAGCAGGCGTGAGGTCCGAGAGGAAGGGCTTCACGGCCTCGACGTCGCAGCCGAAGTCGAAGGCGTGCTCGCCGTAGACCAGCTGCGCCGTTTCGGCATACACGGTGCGGTTGACGCGCATCAGGGCCGCGCAGATGCGGGCGCCCTTGTTCACCATGCAGTAGGTGATCTCGACGCAGCGGCGGTTGAAGGAGCGGTCTATGATGTGATAGCGGGTGCGAATGGACTTGGGATCCCGGTCATCATCAGTAGAAGTAGTCTCATAAAAGGGGGCATTGCCGTCGGGGTGCCCCCTGTTGGATTGTGCGCACTTGCTGCATTCTGGATGCAGGAAAGACGTTTCTGATTGGCCATTTCGGATCGAAATTGTCTTTGACAGTCGCCTTTTAGTCTTGCCGCTGCTTCGAAGACCTGTGCCTGAGTTCAGGTTGCCCTTGGTGTCGGTGCTGGGATCTGCGTCCCCAGCGTCAAAGAGGTATGCATAAATCATCAGGCGCAGCTCGCAGGGCATGCGCATAAAAGGGGATTCCATGGCGAATTAATGGAATAGGGTGACCGATTTTACTTCATTTAAGCTTTTGGTTATTGTAGGTAGTACACCACTTTAAACACAAGATATTGACAACGCGTCTAAACAGCTCAATATTCTTGAGAAAAAGGAACAACAAAGCAAATGTGTGAACAGTATCAACTCCAACGGCAGTAGTATAACTTATATTTCTCGTCTGAACGCATTGTAATGGACAAGTTCAAAAGCAACAGAAATATCTTCCTGTCTGATTCTTATGTGAGCAGCATCCAGCCGTCTTCTCGACTGGCCATCAAGGTTGTTGCCATCAAGGTCCTCAACTCGTACATTCAATTCCCCAGAATCAAAGCCGCTAAGCTTGACAAACTGACGCGAAGAAAACGAACTAAAATTCTCATTTAACTAGAAGCTTCAACCCCCCTCAGACTTATTACCAGTAACGGTTGACTACGTCAATCTATGAAACTTCTCCCCATCGTCGTCGGGGATAGCACGGACTCAACGGAGTACTCACCACGCCCAGATAATCAATGATTCATTCATGATGAATAGATGGTAAAATCTAGCAAGGAACTGAAAATCACTCAGTTTCATAAGTATAAGAACAAACATATATAGCTCGAGTATAGACGGAATATGTGGAAAAAGGCTAATCAGTGTTAAAGATAATATACAAACAACTACGGCGTACTTGTTATCCCACTTTTGCGATTGCGGAGATAGCTATTTAACCCCGGCTCGGCATTTCTGAAGGAGCTAGCTCCCACGCTCTCAACTTACCCACACCCAGACATCTTCCAGCATAATATCAGTACTCTTAAGGCTAAGCTTATATCAACAAGCGGGGATAGCTCAGTTGGGAGAGCGTCAGACTGAAGTTCAACTTCTGTCCAATAATCTGAAGGTCGTGCGTTCGATCCGCACTCACCGCATTGAACCACACAACTTCACCGGTTGTGTGGTTAATCTTTTTCCCCCAATTCACTCCCCCTTTGAGTGGCTGGACCTAATTCACTTTTTATGCTTAGACTGGTCGTAGTTGAATCAATCGGCACTTGTTCATGTGTGAGAGACGCTTTTTCTTGACATAAGAAAGAGAAAGGGCAGGTTATAATCACCACTTGAAGACGGTAGGTAGGTAGGTATGTATATATATATATATCTATTTATGAGTCCACATGAGTCTTCACCGCCCGACCGATGCACGACTTTTCTCCTCATCTGTCGCATACGACTCTAGCGTTGCTGTTCAACATGCTTTTCGCTTCGTTCCCCAACATGTTATAGATAGTTGGTGTTTAGTTCTCTGATAGCAAGGAGCTGATGATTCTCTTATACCCCTCTCGGTTTACCTTGATGAGTTCTGCAAGAAGAGAGAGTGTGTTTGTTTGTTACCTTTCCTGTCTGGCGCAGTCGCTTTAAGAAGCGCTGTATGGAATCTTCGCCCGCGCGAAAAGCTGTTTCGCGATTTTATAAGAGAATGTGTGGAATTCGTAGAATGCACTATGTGGTAGGTAGGGTATATATATATTAAGGATGCGCGCATGTGTATAACAAACAAGTCAATAGAATGACCAAGGAAGAAGAGCCGTAGGTCAGCTCACCTAAGTATTCAACTAACTAAAATACTCAAAAACAGAGGTCTAGACTTCAACACAACACATCGACGTCGGTATTACACATAAAATATAAGACATACACACACATTTATATGTGATATATAATATTCGCTAAATCCCTCCCTGCCGCTGAGGCGAGGGGAACTCACGATCTTTGTTTATTTTCTCCCTCATAAACAAAATCGATCCGCTGACCAATCAGTCGTAGGTCTACCTATACTACGACTACCTATTGCCATCAAAAAGAGATATATAGGGGAGGAAAGGAGGCTGTAGGTAGATGGGTAGGTAGGTATATAGGAGTTGGGTCTGCACCACCGGAACGCCAAGCCATGCAATTAATCAATCAGTCAATCAGTAAACCCAGTCAAGTCAACACAGAACTGCTTCGAGCCGTCATCTAATTTATAAACAAGGAGAAATCTCGCGGGGGCGCGTGTACACTATGCGTAGCAAGACAAGGGCGTGCATAAGTCACTCATACTGCGACGAGGGTCGTAGCGGCGTAGTCTATGATTCTGGCTGTCTTGTCGATGATAGACTGCGCAAGCGGCCAGTCTTCTGTCTCGATTACATCCCGTATTGCGGGGAAGTATGCTTCATCATATTCGGGCCAGAGCTGTGGGCCGAAAATGACATGTTTGAATTGAGTCCGGTTTGGTATCTGTTCATCATTAGTTATGCACAACTTCAACGTGAGTAAAAGTACAGGAGCACATACACCACCGCCAGTTTCAAGATCGAGTAGGTCCGTCTCGAAAGTAGACATGCGATTGTTATAGTCAAGTCGTCGGATACCCAAGGCCGCGGGCTCCCATCCATTAGATGCAATAACATTTTGTTCCCAATATGGTTCCCACTTCTCAAATTGTGAGACGGAAGTTTTGACATGCTCGATTGCGTGCTTGATAGGATTTAAGTTGACCTTTTGATTGTCACCCTGTGTGACACCCTTCTCATCGGCCCATTTCCTCAGGTTGCCATTAAAGCGGTCAAAGCTAGAAGCATAATGCCCTAGATCGAAGGGCAGAATCGGCCTGTCCGAAAGTTCTATGACGAGAAGTGCGAGCACCTGGCCGAGCAAACCGTGGTACACAAAATCCCGGTCACCGATTGATTCCATCCACTGGAAGTTGTCGTATGAAGAATGGGAAGGATGCGATTCGCCGTCAAAGCGAATGTCTAAGGAACTGGTCCCAGCCATATCCTGGAAGGCAACGTAGTCGCTGTCGGATCCTAGAGGCTCGAGATCGATCTTGTTGTCTCTCCATAAATCAAGTAGGGTTGCATTGGCAATGGGATCAAAGACTCTTTCTATGACCTTCGTCACCAGTTTGTGAAACATCGGGGAACCGGCAGCATGAAAGTTTCGGCCGGAGATAGCGCCGTCCAAGTTGATGTATGCGAAGGCCTGCTTCTGAAGAACCTCAAGGTTCTTTTCAACAAACTCGGTACTCCCTATCATATTGTACTCTCCTGCATCCCAACTCATGAACTCGATGGAGCGCAGGGGGCGCCAGCCTTTACCCGCTAGCTCGCCAAAAACGCGTGCCACTTCGAGCATGATGGCCGTGCCGGAATTCGGTTCCGAGGCGCCAAAAGCCCAAGCATCACGATGGTTGCCGATGATGATAGACTTCTCGCCTTGCTCAATGCCCTCGATCTTAGCGTATATATTCCATATCTTTTGTTTTTCGTCCGCATCCTGTTCGTTCTTAAGGCGTACAATCGGCGACGACAAGTTACCAGTCCACCACTTCACATCTGGGACGCCACCTACCCAGTCCGCCGGGGCCGGTCCACCGAAACCGCCAATATGTTGTAGTAAGACTTGTGCATCTCGCCAGGCAATTGGCAGGCTGGGTATGTGAACGAGCCCTTTAGTCTGGTCTAATTTCATACGGGGATTCTCCTCTTTGCTCTCCCAGCCGGGGGTGAGCACGTCCCCAATGACCCAATTGGAAAGACTTACTGAGCCCCTCTGGACGCCATCGGCTGGCATATACCGCCCCTTTGGTGCAGGTTCCCCTTGGCGGTAGCCATTGTCGGCGGGGTCGGTGTAGACGATACATCCGGCAAAGCCTGCTATCTCTGCCGCCTTAACTTTGAGCGCAACATTATCCTGCTTGGCATGGTAACGAACAAGTGCTATGGCGCCCTTCGTATCGATTCCCATGTCTGCAAGCCTCTTGAAGTCTCCGCGAGAGCCGTAGTTCGCATAGATCAGTGGACCCTTGACATCTCCAGACTTGGAGTGACCGTGGAAGGCGTATGTCTGACGACCTGCGGTTTCTACACCCACTTCATTCTCTTCCAACGAGGCAGTCCAGGTGGGCTTCTTCCCATCCGGCGACATGATCTCAACCACGCGGCCGTCCTTCTTGGGGTAATTGAGGTAAACGTAGTATTCGTCGACGGCGACTTGATCGAAGCCGTCGCTCACAAAGCTATTGTGCACGTCCATGGCAAGCGCATAGTCTCCCTCGGTGCCAGCGAGATGCGCAAAGCTCGTAAAGTGCTTTAGTGACTCTTTTATTTGTTCGGATTCAACGCGTAACTGGACGAACTGTCGCACGGCCTCGGGGTCGAACATCTGGCCGTTGAGACGGCGGGACATGTTGGTGAACAGGTCGCTGATGAAGAGAAGGTAGACGGTGCCGAAGACGGCGAACAGGGCAAGCAGCCGGCCGACAATGATCACGATGTCGCGAGAGGTCATGGTGAAGGCCGGGAAGCGCCATCTCGTTCTCGTCTCGCCCGCTTCGCCGTTCTGGTCGTCGCCATTGTCGTTGTTCGCATTGTCGGACTGGCGTGGCAGTCGAACGGTCAGCCGCGGCAAACGCCATCTCCATTTCCACCGTGGTAATGAGAAACGCGATAGGCCCATCCGTTTTGTCCACGACGACGTGCTCGCGCCCGAATCGCTAAGGGGGTCTTCTATCTCCAGCTCTTGCATCTCGCGCCGCACCTGGGCCGCCTCATCGCCGTCACTATCGTGGTCGTCCTCGTCGAGGCTCCATTCTGACCCTTCATCGTCAGTCTCGACCCGTGGAGGCCGGTAGCCCGCGGGCGCCCTCCTCGATGAGTCGGGTGGTCTGTTGTGGTGGAGAAGCGACTGGGCTTCGGTCTCGTGATCGGGCCTTGTGTCCGCGGGCGTCGGCAACGGAGACGGTGGCCATGGCGACCTCGAAGACGATGCATCACCGGCGGTGGCTTCTTCGTACGACGGTATGGGAGGCGCCGGCTCGTAGCGGGACTTCTCGGACGGCATGGCGGCGTATTAAATAAATATCAGGGATAACTCAACGAGAGCACATCGGAGCCAGGGGTTGGGGGGCGCGCGGTGGAGATGGAAACGAAAGCGAAACCCGAGGGCGCCGGTGGTATTAGGTGAAGATACTGGTCCGAGGCAATATCCGAGAATCCGGGAACGAGCGAGCGAAAAAAGACGGAAGACGAAGTTGACACGGTACGGCACGACGGTAAAGGAGTGGACGGATTTACAGTGGAAAGGAGAAGGGAATCAAACAGGAGCGGCCGAGCAGGCACATCGATCGGTCGGTCGGTCGGTCAGTCAGTCGGTCTTAGACAGTCAGCAGCATTGACGCGATTAAGAGAGCGGAAGTGGTGTATGTAAATAGGTAACGCTTTAGGGTATCGAGGTCGGCATGAAATTATAGAAGACGGGCAAACCTGAGCTTGCCGGGGTTCTACAATCAATTGTCGTTGTTGGCCGCCTTATGGGTTTGGAGACATTTGAGTTGTTGGCGTGAGACCAAGACATAAGACAGGTCTGGTCTGGTTCTTGTATGGAGCCGGTGGCTAATCCCTAACGGAGCTGTACAGTGTACGTACACTACTGCGTATCTATCCCCCCAGGTAGCTAGTGGGTCTTCAGCACTGGCTGATACACTGTAACCCTCACCTATAATCAACCTAGTACAGCTCACCATCGTTGTATCATTTACACTTATAGAACCGAGAGAGTTTTTCTGTTATTGTGTACTCTCTAGATATTGCTGCGATAGATTATTCGTTTATGAAGTAGTTAAGCTAGCATTGTTGTATTGCCCCCTACGACGGCTTACACTGGGCTAGCCGGTGGTCTGGTTAAGTGAACTATAGAGTTTACAACCAGATGCCAAACCAACATCATGATGCAATCAACAACTGTCAAAGTTAAAGCAAATGCAAGCACTAAATTTATATATACTCACGATAGCCTACCCTAGGTACTAACCTTCGTACCAAAACATCTACATATAGAAGCCATACTATCTATTAAAGTGATATACTAAATACACACATACTGC